AAAAGCTTAGTTGGGCTTCAAGCTGCACATATGCAGACATTCGAGCCCCAAGATGCGTCTTAAATCAACTGGGGGTGTCCCAATCTGCAAGAGATTTAGTCACCCACTTTGATGGGCAAACAAAATCCACACACAGAATTGAGGAAGCCATATCAGAAACTGCAAGCCTGGCCACTAAGGCCCTCATACAACAGCATCTACTGTCCCAGTTATCTATTGGCTTTGAGAGTTTCCAACAACCCATACGGTGGCCAATGATTGGCAGAAATCTAATATAGCATTGCATTTCTATAAATTGGGTAGAGCAGATGCTTTTAGACACTTTATAAATGACGTTCACCTTAAAACAATGGGATAGATTATGGAGTAAAAGAAATCTGCTGCCTAAAGCAACCAACCAATCAGGTATCCCATTTCTTCTTAAACCTGGACTACAAAAATAACAGCAAAAATCTAACTGGTTGCACTTAACACACCTACAGATTTGTAGGAAATGTGCTTCCTAAGCGCCTAATACTCAAACCCACTACGTTGATGGGTCCTTCAGAACCAGATGTGCCAAGTAGAACTCAGAGCGCTATATTTTTTTTCCTTTCTCAGTGAGCAATATAAAACATCCCCTTCCCTCAACAAATGAATGTGCACTACGAAAGCTAAGAGCAGTCTACGTGAATACACATGAAAGATTCAAACGTACAAGAACGCCCGCTACGTGACTCAATCCTTCTAACGGCTTTATTCTGAAGTGCACCTGTTGTTTAGCAGCACACGGAATACAATGAAAGGAGTCCGATATGGGAATATAAAAATGTGTATGACAAAGTTTTTAGAGCATTTGAACACAAGAAGTTGATCACATTGGCTGCAGTGGGACCTGAATTCAATCTCTAAGCTCTGCTGTGGCCTTTTGCAAGTGATCAATTTATGTCTGGGGTTTAAAGCCTAACTCCAGGCTCCGTGGTACTTTTTTTTCTAATGTCTTCAATTCCGTCAAGGGCCATGCCAGGACCTTTTCTTCTCCCGATCTTATGCAGCAGTGGGGTGGACTAGGAGAGGCAGAGAGTGGCACTGACATCAGCACTGCTCTCTGCATCAATTCAAAAGGAATGAAGGACCCCATGGTGACTACCCTTCAGGGGTAGCACCATGACACCCTGCATTCATACTAGGTCCTCAATCTTTCAGGTAAAACAATGCTAGATGTTATTTATCCCAGTAGACTGAAAAAGAAGTACTGCGAGGAGGACAGCTCTGGTTTGAAGGTAAGTACTGCCGCCTAAGCCGCTTCTTTTGTTCACTGCCTGGAGGCCTATTTAATTAAAAGAAAAGACATTGCTCGTAATTGGGCTTTCAATAGATCCAATGCCCAACATTGCTTTAGAAGGTATACCATCTACATTGGCTTTGGCCTCTTTAGAAGCTTACAGTCTGATAACCCTACCACAGGCATAAAATGCCCAAAGCAGGGCCAATTCAGTTAGAAGACAGACAATTAACCTAACCACGTAATCTGGGGAAAAAACCTGCAGCACCTAGAAAACCCCCCACAAATAAACAGGAAGAGCATACAACTCCATCATACTTTCTAATATATGCCAATGACTATCTTCCAGTTTATTATTAAAGCTGAGCTCCAGGCATACATAAAGACAGTTCACATGTGTGTTTCATCCATGTATTAAGCTGTTTGCCTGGAGTTCAGCTTTGATAGTGCCTGAAGAACTCACTTTGTTTTTAATCAGTGAAATTGTCCTTTAGGGGCTGCTCGGGGTCTCTTTCTGTTTGAAAGCCATCTTGGCAATGCTGGTAGCCATAGGCTATGATAGGCAAAACTATTTTTACATACAAATGGAACGTTCTAGCTGGTTTTAGCATTTCTTTCTTCCTCTAGGTCTCTCTCTGTAGCTGTTTGTTGTTCTAAGGAGGTGAAGGGAACAAAGTAGAGACAACTAAGCTGCATTGGTGTGGCAACAGACATACTTCATGAACAGGCCTTATTACAACTGGTCAAATAATGGTTAATATGAAATACCTGGACAAATTAACTTTTTAATATAAAAAAAAGGCCTTCCCACCTTCAGGGTATGCCGTTTGCTACAAAACAACAGGTGCACTTTACGTAGCTATGAACTCCACTTCTAAAAGCTTACTTACAGTGAACCTGTTACAAACTTGGACAATGCAAACTGAGCATATGATGGAGGAAAAAAATGCAACGGTTACCTTGACTAAAAAGCATTGTTCAAAATGATTAGCGTGCAGACAAATCTCTTCCTACAAAAGTGGAGCTTGGCCCTGTCCCTTCCTAAAGACTTCATTTATATACATGAATAATGGACAATCTGAGTGACCAATAAAGGGAGGCCATAGCGTGTTTTTACTGGCAAGTGTAATTAAAATTAAATTTAGTGATATCTCTGGATCTTATTGTTCTGAGATGGGCTTTCCGCAGCTCTGCTCATTCCTTATTTTAACAGAAGCTCAGTTTGAATTCTCCATGTTAGTGCCAAGTTAACTTTTAAAAGACCCTTAAAATGGACCTTGCACTAAAAAGCGAGGAGCACGTCTAACATAAGGGCCTCCTCCTCTATACCAAATAGACACAAAGTGTTAAACAAAAAAAACAAACAGTCTAACCAGCTTCCACACTGGAGGGGGTGACATCAAGATCCTTTCGGTGCGATCCTAAGACCAAAGGATGCGAGAATGTTCTACTGTGTTGGGGTATCGGGGATTTTGGGATTGTTCCCAGGAGGTTCCGGACATCACCCTCACCAGTGAAGAAGCTAGGGAGAAGGTAAATATATGTTCTACCTTTTCCTCTTTTTTGTTTTACACCACAATGTGGTGATTTGGTATGGAGAAGGGGCCCTGATGTAATAAGCAGACCTTGCCTTTTAGTACAAGGACAGCTTTAAAATCAATCAACTGATCCATTTTGGTGGAGTGGGCAGGGTTCCAATCCAATCCAAATGAACCTTTTAGTTGAAATCAGCTACATATTTTCCAGATGCATTCAAACAAAAAGTTGGGCAAAGTTTTACACTTCATTTTCTTTAGAAAGCAGCAGCCACAGCCTGAGCAGAAAAGCCTATCTGCAGAGAAGGACACTTGCCCTCTGTGTGCAAACAGAAGTCCCACTTGCTCCCTTCAGAGCTCTCCAAAACAGCAGGGAGGATGATCTGTGCCCATTGCAGCTATATAAATATCAAGTAAGAGTCACCTGCCCACCAAAAGTAATTCAGCAAAAGTCCATTTATTGGCACATTGCCATTTAATAACAAGCGCTTTCGGGGCCTCAGAGTTACCCCTTCATCAGGCTCAGAATGATTCAGATTCTGAGCCTGATGAAGGGGTACCAGGGGACAGGCTTTTCGACTCAGGTTGTGACTGCTTTCCAAAAAAAAAAAAAGGACTTACACACATTGTCTTGATGTACTTGAAATGTATTTAGCCGATTTAAACTGAAAGTTCCCCTGGGCTCCAAGAGTGGATGCACCAGCACCTCAAAAGTAAAAGGCGTCATTTTGCAATAAAACGTAGGCAGCAACAGCGCCTCCCTTTGGTTTACTGGCACTACAGGCATATATACATGTGTGAGGATAAAACTTGTACAGTAATAAAAAAAAAAAAAAAA